TTTTTTCACCTGAAATACAACATAAACAAAATCAAATATAATACTTTCCCATATTAAAAATTAAGCTAAATCTCATAGGTTGATGTATACAAACAGTTGATTTCAATTTTCGCCATCAAAACAGGTAACATTTCTAAGAGGTTTTAAAAGCCAAAATGAGTAAAAAAGGACGAACCTAGTCAAGTTCAGTAAATAACAGAATAAGGTTCGAGCACAGATGCTAATCTTTGGTCATACTTACCATTTTCAAAAAGGCAGATGGAAAGAAAATCAGTCTTGTGAATAAACTCAACTGAGAAAGGATCCCACTAAGACAGTATTACCTCTGACAAATATGTAAACAATGTTCATGGATAATTCTACATGTCCATCTTTAAAATGAAATCTGGCATCTTGTGAGGAACATATTTCATAAGTTTCGTTAAAATTTGGTGCAGCATTGTTTTTTTTATTCATTCACAGGATGACGGGTATTGCTGGCTAGGCAGCATTTATTGCCCATCTCTAATTGCCCAGAGGGCAGTTCAGAGTCTACCACATTGCTGTGGGTCTGGAGTCACATGTAGGCCAGCCCAGGTAAGGATGGCAGTTTTCTTCTCTAAAGGGCATTAGTGAACCAGGTGGGTTTTTCCAACAATTGACAATGGATTCATGGTCATCATTAGACTCTTAATTCCAGATATTTATTGAATTCAAATTCCACCATCCGCCAATATTAATAGCAATAAAATTCTTACCTATTAATGCATTACATAGAGATAAATAAACACATAACTCGATCATTTTCACAAACATTCAAGTGAAAAGCTGTAGGTCAACTCACATCAACTCCAAGATCTAACAGGTACTTGACTACACTGAGCATTCCACTGGAAGCTGCAGCATGAAGTGGTGTATAAGCTTTCTTATCCTTGCACGTTACTTCAGCTCCATGTGCCACCAGCAGTTTGATCACTTCATTGTGGCCTACACAAAACAGCAGGGTAAGAATGGACATCCAAGCACTGATATACTGCTTTCTGTCAATATTACACTCATCTGACATCATCAAATCTATAAAGATTACTAAGTACATCCTAAAACTACTCTACAATAGAATTTCACAAGTCCCAAGTCATATTAATTCAGTTGGAGAATATACTGAAAGTCCACATTTACCTGAAGTATCAATAATGTTTGTGGCTGCTCTCAATGTTATTTGTAACATTAGTTATTGAAACAATTGTTGACTTTGAGCTAATGCTAAAAACAAAATCAAGATAAGTTCACATTGTTACACGTTGTGGCTACTGAGTTTCACTATGGAGGGAAAAAGACAAAGTTCCCACTTCCAAGTTGAGGGTGAGATGTACAGTTTTTAAATGACACCACTATCTCAAAGATGTGCTTCACTTGAGCAATGATCACTTGTAAAGATTTAAATGTAGATATGCATTGTTGAATTCGCCATTAATCTGGCCAAGAGACCTTAAGTTTTTTTTTCCAATTTTCACACCATTTAGCTGAAATAAGCATTTGAAGGGGTAAAATTTTTAAAATTCTAATCTATATTAATAATCCTAATAAAATTACATTTTATTTGGAGTGCTATCTGAAAGGAGCCTAATTTACCAGAGTTCAGCTGGCTATCCTCTCAGCCTTATGAAGTACCCACTCATAACCCTGCTGGGCCCACCCTTCAAACACATCATTCTTTCGATTACCTAACCACATCATTTCAAACCCTGCCATCCACTCCCCCAAACTGTTGCACGTCTGCAATTTTGTACAAGAAACACTGAAAGACTTAAAAACAAACAGATTAATACTTAACAAAACTTAATCAACAGAATATGAAAATCAATACAATACCCATGTACGCAGCCCAGTGAATTGCACGTCGATCTTTCTTATCAAAAGCATTGATGTTGGCACCTCGGGATAGAAGCAAGCTAACCATCTGGAAAACAATTTTTTTTATTGAATTCAAATTGGTTTCTTACCAGTATGTAATATTTTTTCAAATTAACTTTAGTTCAAATAATTTGCAAACACCTGCTCAGTAAATAAAAATGCTTCAATATATAAATCAATGATCTTTTCAAGACAGCTGCAATATTTTCCAACTTGAAAAATGATTAAAGTTTTACATCAAGCAGTATGGGTGCAAAATACTAAATGCAATTCCAAAGTCAACTGAGGAAATCAATAATTAAGCTCCTTCCTTCACTGCTGAGGCATTGTGTCCAGGAAGACATTGTAATTCATCTTATAGATATTTTTAATCTACCTACTCAGACAAGCTGAGACACACCTCTGAAGCACGTGGGACTAAACACAGATTTCCTGTCTTGGAGACAGAGATGCTACCATTGTTCCACAAGAGACCCCTCAGAATTCATCTTACATGGGTGTAACAGTTTATTGATAAATTAGTTTCAAAATTAAAACATGGTGGGGGAAACACTCAGGCTAGTTGGCACATACATGGAGCCAGCTTGTGGTATTTTCAGCACTGAATCATGATAATATTGTGAAGGTGTAAATTAAAAATCTTCCTTCACTGTTGCTGGGTCAATATCCTGCAACTTCCTCTTTAACAGTCCTGTGGATGTCCTGATACCACAAGGACTTCAATCGTTCAAGATGTAGCACACCACACCTTCTAAAGGGCAATTAGGGATGGGAAATAAAAATTGACTTAACCAGCAACACTCAAATCCCAGGAATGAAAAAAAAAAATGGGCTGGAGCAAAAAAAAACTCCTATAACATCTAAATTACAGTACGCAATATTTTGCATGTGGCCTTGAAAAATTCCCCTCATTGTTAACATTTACACTTTTAAAATTGCATCTGAATGTTATCTGAACCAGTGCACAAAGCTGAGACTTCTCCCCATTAGCAAAAACAAACTTTGTTATATATCAAAAATAAATAAATTATATTAACTTAACATCACAGCAGCTTATAAAGACTCAAAGCTGTAACCTCGTTTCCACTATTGACTCGCTGTCACCCTTGCCCCCTCCACAAACCAGGAGTTCCACTTATCTTATGAAATTATTGAAGGCTAATAGCACTTTCCTGGGATGAACCAAAAAAAGGCAAATTAAAGCCCTCAAAGTTTATTCTGATTTCTCTTCAATATTCTGTACTTTCTCCAAAAGTATGAGATTTCACAGGTCGTCCTTCCATTTGTTTTAAGCTAAATGACCTTCCAATTTCTTTATTGATTTCTTGATTTCACACTCTCAGCACAGCCTCTGTGATGCTTGTGTAGAAGCTTAAGATATCAGAAAACACCATTTTTTTGGTTTAGCATTGGAAATCAAAGAACTGTGGATGCTGAAAATCAGAAACAAAAACAGAAATTGCTGGAAAAACTCAGCAGGTCTGGCAGCATCTGTGGAGAGAAAGCAGAGAGTAAACGTTTTGGATCCAGTGACCCTTCTTCAGAACTTGATTTTCAGCACCCTGCTGTTATGGTTTCAAACTGCAACCAATTTCCAAATGCACAAAGTTAACTGGCTTTCAATGAGGATTACAATTGAATCTGATCTTTAGTTTCCAACTAAATAAATCTTTCAGGTATTTTTGGTCCTTTCCAACTTGGTCTCGTACCAAATACCAGCTCCCAACAGCAGACTGCATCATTGCTAACATATCTATCACTTACTCTATTTCAGGTGTAGGTCTAGCTTTATCTTTCAAATTTCAAGGAACTACAAGCTCTACAAGGATCAAAATTGACAGTCTCTTGACTATTTATCCAAACATTAAAAAGTGCTGCCTGCTGGCTATGCCTTGACTGAATTTACAGAAAAAGCTCAAAACAATGAATCTCGCTAAGTACCGTTTCACTTTCATGGTAACGAAAATTTTCAAGGTAGAGAAATACAAATTAACTGCCTATTAATTCAAAAGTGTTGCTTAATTCTGCAAAACCAGATGAGTAACTTATCGTTTACTGGAACAACTGCAAACTTCATGTCTCCAGTTCTTTGGCCAAATAAGCCTACCTTTTACTTATAATTTTAGCTTTTTAGCTGTTAAACTCTAAAGTCAACACTGCCCCAAATATTTAAGTGGAATAAGCTCCAAGTTTGAAACTCATTTATTTCAGGTTTGCTTTCATCAGTTTCTGAACCAAACACCCTTCATTTCTCCAGCTAAAATTATAAATCCTAAACTAAAAGTCACATTCTAAAATAAATTATGAATTAGATATTTTGTAATATGAAAAAGATGCTACTTTAAATTATGAAAAAGACGAGCAATCTCAATGATTCAACTTCAGCCCACTTTAAAATAGCTTTAATAGAATACCTCTACATGTCCACTGAAGGCAGCATGGTGTAAAGCAGTTCTCCCTGCTCGGTCGGAGACATTTACATTACTTAAAAGGGGAACGAGAGCCTCAGCACACTTCACAGCCTTGTTTGCAGCAGCAATGTGTAAAGGAGTCTGCCAGTTTTTGTCACGAGCATTCACATCAGCTGAGTGCTTTAAAAGCACCTGAACTGCATCCTAAATCAAAATCAACAGTTAAACAGAAAATTATAGGATAAAGTATGTAAGCAAAGTCAAGCTACTGGAACATACATATATATATATATATCATTTGGACTAAATTTTAAGAATATATTTCAACATTTTTTCACTCCCCCCATGGCTACTCCATTCTCAAAGTCTTCAACATTTGTAGCAACAGATCTTCTAGCTGATTTAATTCACCTGAAATTAAACTTTATAAAATTAATATTCCAACTAGATCAGACTGCAAGGAAGTAAATACATTTCCTAAAATTTCCACAGAGTTACTGCAAAAATGGGAAAAGAAAAGCAGTACAGATATATTAGCTAATACCTGATTTCCCTAAAAACATGCACTTAAATCCTTAGTAAAATACAAAAGCACTCTGCACCAAAGTAATTTAAATTCAAAATTTAGCTCTTGAACAATGTTATGCAGCTGAGTGCATCTGTTCAAGTATTTAAGAACAACACTGGGGGTTTCCATAACTTTTTCCTAATTATAGAAGAAAAGCCCACAATATTACTGAACAACTGAAATAAATTAACCCTTTATGAGAATTGTTGAAACGTTATGTGCTCAATGTTTTTTTTTGGAAAGGTGAGCATTTGGAAGGTGAAGCAAACTGACATTATAAAATCATCTGAAATAAACTGAAGTTACTCATACAAATTATTTACAGATAATTTACATCAAAACAATCAGTCTTTTTAACAAAAAAAATATAGTTTCCTTAAGCGCAAGTACAGGTTCAGATTGTACATACTGATAAAGATTTTATTCTAATGCACTATTTAAACCCACAGCAAAACCATTTAATCTGGAAAGTAAAACAAAATATAGCAACAGTATAATCATTTCAAAATGAGCAGGCACCAAACTAGCATCAGTTCGAACCACTAAAGAAAAATTCATGGCATTAGTTTATTTAAGCTAAATAACCCAACTAAGTTCACCCTCTATATATAATGCATAGACAATTGATCATTTGAGAAAAACAGAAAAATTCTCTAACAGGACAGTGGGTCAATCAATAACATAGAAAAACAAAATTACATTATCCAGTTATAACTTTATCAGACTTAGCTTCATTGTGGGACTTCTTTTACATGTACATTTATCATAGTAATTACAGCACCAGAGTTAATTTGACCAAACTTCAAATGAGGTGGTCTAACTTGCTCGCATCATTTTATATTTTAATGATACTTCAATAACCACTTCTAGCAAAGCACCTCATGTTGATATAAACCTTGCATGCAATAACAATCTAAGCTCTCTGCTCTCCTGATAGAAAATATTTTAATTGTGTTGATAGACTGTTGAATAAAATTAATATTTTTTATACACCTTGTTCTTGCTTGTTCATTAAAAAGTGAAACAAATCTTTCACTTTTTCATCTTAAATTTACCACAATTTCAGGACTTAATGCCACAGATTTTGATTCGTTATGAACATACAGAATGGGAAATGTAGACCATTCAGCCTCTTAAACCTGCTCCATCATTCAATAAAATCATGGCTGATGAATGTGTTTCTAATTCCACATTCCCATCTACCTTCAACAATTTGATTCAGTTACTGGTCTGATTCTAGTTCAGGCAGTTATGAATCCAAGGTTCACATCAGCACTCAATTTAATACCAAGGGAGTACTTCGCTGTTGAGGATGGCAATCTTTGTTTTGCTCTGGTCATACTCCAAGATGAGAGAGCTTTCTATATATTGGGCAATATAGCTTGAACTATTCATTTCATTGATCACTGAGAAACTTTGTTGGCAAAATAGTTACTGTTTCCATATGTAATAGTGATTTAACTTGAACATTCTTCATTGTATTGAAGCTTTTACAAGCAGATCCTGAATTTTTTATGACCAGATCCCAGGCAAGGTTGTCCCAACTATTACAGGTCTGGAATGATAGTTGAAATATTAAGCCCTTGTGTGAGGAAGCTTAAACTGGTTCCTCTTCTGTATTTACTCATCCCTTGGTTGGTCGAAACTAATTTAAATAATACATCAGCTTATGGATACCTTACTACCAGACCAAATTAATCTATATTTTAAAAGAAACCAACTTAACAAGTCTTTCTAGAGTTGACAGAAGTACGGGTTTATTAGTTACTGAAAACAAAAAGAAACAACATACATACACAGATAAGGAATAGGAGTTGAGTCCAAAAAAAGATAAAAATAAAAAAGATATACAGATCAATCTATCAGGGTGGTTTGTGAACAGTTGATAGTAGAAATTTGACAGTTAACAGTCAACTTCTGGGATTCTTGGCTTTGCTGTTAGTTGAAATAATTTTGTTCAGTTTCCTCATGATAGTGGTTAGCTGGCAGCACTTAGTGAGAGTGTTCTTCTTGTCCAGAGTTTCCTTCTGATTATCTTCTTGGTTTGTTGGCTTTCACCACTAAAAATGAGAGAGTTCTTTTACCTGCAATGCAGGGTGATGGGTGGGTGGTTGGTTCTTTGACTGTGACATTCACAGTACACCAGTGCTCAAATGTAGTCTGGTACACGTAACCTCAGTTCACTAGCACACCTTTTTCCACAAGCACACCCAGGGCAGGGTTGCAGTTATTTTTTTTCCAATACATTCTTGGAAGGGCATAATGCAAACATGTCTAAGAGGTGGCTTTCTGTTGAGAGGGGAAAGATAGTCAGGCTCTTCATTACCTCTTCTCTGTTTCAAGTTTCACTGATACTTTACAGATGCCAGATTGCATTTGTCTCCCAAAGGAGTTTGCCAGACAGCACTGTATTTATATTTGCAGTCTTTCTTTTCTGTTGTGGTCCTCTTCCAAAAAATCACATTTGGAATTAAAAGTTTAAAATGTCCATTGTACCACAGGATCCTGATCCATTGTTGTGACACTTTCCCATAGGATGAATGAAGTGAAAGACACTCTCATTTCATTATAAAGGTTCGAAAAGAATTAAGACGTAAAACAACAAACACAGTCTCGCACACATATTCACTCGTCCTCAGTCATTGCTATTTTTTAAAGCTCTAACCAGGTCTTTCTAGATTGCAGGCGCTCCGTTGAAATCACATTTAATTTCCTTGCATTGTGCCTAATTTTTAGGTCGTATGGTTGATGGAAGAAACTCCAACAAAATAACCTGACATTCTGGATCTTACTACCCTCCTCAAAAGGTAACAGGTTGTATTCAGTAAAGACTATGGTGTCTCTGTATCCATTTTGGGCATAGATCTTTAAGCATTTGAGAGCCTGTAATAAAATGGATTTATTTTCTTCTGCAGAATACTATTTCTGATTTTTGTTTTAAGTTTTTGGAAATGGATGAGATTTGTCTCTCTATCCTAGATTTATCTTCTTGAAGGAGAACAGCCCCTACCCTGGTGTGACTTGCTCTGATGGTTACTTTAAATACTTGCTTAAAGTCAGGAGCTTCAAGCACAGGGTCATTTAGAGTCACAGAGTAAAACAGCATGGAAACAGACCCCTCAGTCCAACTCATCCACACCAACCAGATATCTCAATCTGACCTAGCCCCATTTGTCAGCATTTGGCCCATATCCCTCCAAACCTTTCCTATTCATATATCCATCCAGGTGCCTTTTAAATGTCGTAATTGTATCAGCCTCCACCACTTCCTCTGGCAGATCATGCCGTAAATGCACAATCCTCTGCGTAGAAGAAGTTTACCTCAGGCCTTTTTTAAACCTTTCTCCTCTCACCTTAAACCCATGTCCTCTAGTATTGGATACCCCCACATTAGGAAAAAGACCTTCGCTACTCATCCTATCCATGTCCCTCGTAATCTTCTATAAGGTCACCCCTCAGTCTCCAATGCCAAAGAAAAAAAAAGCCCCAGCCTATTCAGCCTCTCCCCATTGCTCAAAACCAGTCCCAGCAACATACTTGTAAATCTTTTCTGCATCCTCTCAAGTTTAATAATATCTTTCCTACAGAAGGGTGGACAGAATTGTACACAGTATTCTAAAAGTGACGTCACCAACTTCCTGTACAGCTGCAACGTGATATCCTAACTCCTAGAGTAAAATGTTGTTAAAACAGACTACAGCTTTCAAAAGCAGATCGGTATTTCTCAAACTATACTTTGCTTTTTGCAGTACTTTTATCAGTAGCATGGTTATTGTGCTGAATTTTGTGATGAACTTTCGGAGGAATGGGGGACCAAGCCACAGTTTCTACCTTTGCAGCCCTGGGCAGGACAGATTTTGAACTCACTAAGTGTTCTGGATAGATTACATGGGCCTTAACAAACCTGCTATTTGCAAGATTGACCATTAAGTCAGCTATCTATATTTTCTGGAAGAGAGCTTCCAGTTAAAGTGCACCTTCCAGGTGTCACTGTACACAGTGGCCATCTAGGTACACCACACAATTAAGCCTGCCAGTATCTGGTTCATTATCCTTTAGAAAGCAACTGAGGAACTTCCAAGTCTAAACTTGACACTCACATAACGTGTCCGGATTGCAAACGGGAAATTTCTTTAACATGTGTAGTCAAGGAACATGCCAGCACCCCTCATGTGAATCTATCCTCGTAATGTATGTGGCTTCACCTCCCTGCCTATGCAATTCTCCAGATAGGGTATTGGGTTGGCTCTGGTCACCGGATTAACTTTTTGGTAATCACTGCAGATACCTGTGGAGCTGTCTGGGTCAGGCACAAACACAACTGGGAATCTCTTGGAACTGCTAGTAGGCTCTATTAGCTGCTGTTACAGCATGTAGTTGGACTCTTCTTGAATCTGGGTCAGGTTTTCAAGGGCTACCTGGTAGGGATGTTGTTTTATGGGACAGGCCTCTCCCACATCTATATTACGTACAGCTAGGATGGTGCCGGCTGGCTTATATCTGCATTCATCCTCGAATGCAATAAGCAGCCGTCTGCTCGCTATCCTGCACCAGATGGACAAATAAGGAGTCTAACGTTGCTCCTAATTCTGTATGAGTTAGCTGGGTAGTAAGGGGCTCACGGGATAGTGGCAAATGGAGAAGTAGTTATACATAGTTAAAAATTTTAGATTTTTGCATAAGGGTGAAAATGCTTGGAGGGCGATGTTATACAAGATAACGGCTCTGAACAAAATTAATATTTCGCTGTATTGCACTCCAGCCAATGAATTGATATCGCACAGTCTTTGCATGGCGAAACAGTCGGTCTTGCACGAGGTCCTGATGGAGACAGACATGGCATATGATTCCTGATGGTTGTAATTATGTGTGGTTAGTTAATATGTTAATTGTACCTAAAGCTCTCAATAAACAATACCTTGTTAGGTTAGACAAGTACCTCTAAGGCTTTATGAAGGTCTATCCTCTACCACTGGTAATTAGACAGGCCCATTAGACTCAGCACGGAAAGGAGGATTGGTGGCAATAAACTATACCAGCCACGAGCCATCAGTGGCTGATAGCCAGATACAATAAGCTGGCAGCACTGGTACCTGAAAATACAACAAGAAATACTATCTTATTCTTTTACTATACGAGCTGAAACAAGGAGTTGGCTAGTGTGATGCCTTGGTAATAGGCATCATGGACCCATCAACCACAAATCTATAGCTATCTCTGGTAATCCCCTTCAAGATTGGCACTCAGTGGCTGCACCTAGAAACTGCAACCCAGGTCAGCACTTCAATGCAAAAAAAAACCCAAACAATCTCTGGTACTTATTATGAAAACTACTAACTAAGTTTAGAATAAAACAAAAGGCACAAAAATTTTCCTGCACATCTATATTTCTGATCAGATTTTCTGGCATAAAAAAGTGGTAGAGAATCCATGTAACCTCATTCTGCAATCACTTTATATGAATTCTTCATCTCTCAATAGCACATTTTCATTGCCATGTGCATCAAACAGATTTTGTATCTGATTAATGTTCTTCTAGGCTCTCAACTTCATTTGGTGTAGAAATACACAGTTTAAAGTATAATCATATATAAAAGTTGACACTCTTAACATCCCTATGAGCATCAAAGATCAATAATTTACCCGCAGATGGTTTAGCCATTCTCCACACGCGAACATCTTGCACCTCCTCAGCAAGTCTTTAAGTTGCATAACAACCAAGCCAGCTAGATTTGTTATCGGGTAGAATTCAGAGGATACATGAACCCACTATTACTTCATATTATCTTAAACTAGAAACAGTTCTAAAGTGTATAAATCTTATAAACTTCATTCTTATAAAACCCTTATTAAAAAGTAATGTTGCGTTACTCATAATCCACTTGTAAAGTCAACTGTTCCTTTGATTAAACACATAGGAAGACCTCAAAAGGTTGCATGCCTTTTATGTTTACAACAAATCTATTCAAATAAGCTTAAAAAACAATGTTTATAGATTTAATTTACAATTTTCAATTAGGATTTTAGAAAGGTTAAGCCTAGCAAGAAAAGGCATTTGCAGCAGTGTCCAACCTTTAAACAAGGTTGATTTCTGGTCAGCATTAACAAATTTACATTTAAATATGAAATTTAAAATACATAGAACCATGTCAGGATGCATATTAGTTCTATACCCAATAGTTTCAACGAGGTCACAATTATTTGGGCTATGAAGTCACTTGGGACTGCCAATCCAAAAAAAGTTTTTGTTGAGGAAATGGAATACCAAGGTCAGTCTAAGTATTAAAAGTCCACAGAAATGAAAGTCAAATTCAAACAGGTCATCGGGTGTTATTAGCTGCAACATTGATAATTTTCAATAGTAAAAGTGTCACACCCATTAAAGTATACACCAGGCAGGTGAAGAATGCCAAGCCTGGATAGGCTGGAACTTTTTGTACTGGAGTATAGGAGTTTGAGGGTTTACAGGTGTTTGCAACATTATGGTGGGCATAGATAAGTTGAATAGAAAAAGTCTTTTCCCTAGGGTACAGTGTTCAAAACTAGAGTGGGCAAAGGTTTAAGGTGAGAAGGGAAAGATTTAAAAGGGACCTGAGGGGCAATGTTTTCACACAGAGGGTGATGTGTATATGGAATGAACTGCCAGAGAAAGTGGTTGACACAGGCACAGGTACAAAATTTAAAAGACATACGCATGAATAGGAAAGGTTTGCACAAATATAGGCTGAATGCAGGCAACTGGGACTAGTTTACTTTAAGAGACTTAGTCAGCATGGACGAGGTGAAGCGAAGACGGTGTTTCCATGCTGCATGACTCTATGACTGCAAATGATGAACTGCTAAATTACATAATGTGCAAAATTCTGATAAAAGTTTACATTTTTAAATGTGAATTTTAGTTTCTGATGTAGACTATCCATGGTTGCAACACTACTGTAGAAAATTCACTGAGGTGATTATTACTGACGTTTGGAACTCTGTTTCTTATTCAATATTGAAAAATCAAAATCTCTGCTGTGCAGGAATTTTAAGGTCAAATTCTCTAATTCTGCAATGACAAGATCAAAGTCATTTACACTTACCTCACTGCATGAAGCAACAGCACGATGCAGGGGAGTCAACCATTTGTTGTCTTTGGCATTAACTCTAGCTCCTACAAGTACAAAATTATACAAGTAATAATGTCACTATTTAGCAATAATCTGCACCAAACTTAACACCAATTTAATATAACTGTAATGACAGTTAAGGATGAGAAATTTAGTTGAAATGTTTCTGCACAATGTTCAGTGGAGGAACAAAGATGAATAAAGTGATTTGCAATATTGACCTAAAACAAGGGAGTCCATTGCTAGTGGTCAAACGTAATTAACCCTTTCAATTAAAAGAAAGACTTGGCCAAGACCAATTTAAAAGAAATCAAAAATGTTAAATTAAGAAATATACAATGGTTTATAGGAGTCTGATAAAAATTTGAGGAAGTGAAGATCAAAACACAAGACAAATATAGCCTGCCTGTTTGATAAGGTAACTTAAGAAAATCCAAGTAATTTGGTTTTAAGTACTTTGTAGAACAACTCTTTTCACAATTGCCTTCCAGTGGTCTTTCTGTAGCTCGTAAGACTGGCTACTCATATATGCAAAAGCAGGATGAACTGAAAAAGTTGACATGCAAGTGAAATGCCTTCTTCATCTGGCATAGAAGTACTTGCTGCAGGTACTACCAGAAGTCATGCATCATCTTCACTTGGTCAGCCGAGTTGAGTTTTGAAATTCTGACCTTGTTTGGTTGAGCAGCAAGTATGAGCACATGCTCAATTTGACGTGGTTGGTTGAATCCCGTTTTTATTTGGTTCTTTCAGGCTCTTAACTCGCAAATTGTAAGCAATTGAGTAGCATTTAATGAGCACATCAAAGATAATGCTGACAGTCTAACAAAATAAAAGCCATTAAATGATTTTGTAAACTTGCACTGAGAGTCTAGTTTGTTTGTACCCCATGGAAAACGAGATGTACAGTAAGCTTCAGAGTATTTCATACAAATAGATACAGAAAGTGAAAATACAAATTCCAAATTGTTAACACTGCCTGGTATTTCCACAGGGGCTCTTCTGATCTGCTGCTGCAACCTAAAAAGATCTTGCAGAAATCCCTCAGAAAACACAAGTATTTGTATTAACTAGCTGAACTGCATAGTTGAAGCATACCTGATAGAATAAGGAGTTCAATAATTTCAGCATCTCCTAGATATGCAGCAGCATGCAATGGAGTTCTCTTCTCAGCATCCTACAATGAAAGGAAAAATCATTTTACAGCAAGTCATTTTTTGTATCCAAGTGACAATGCTAACAAACGTGATCTTTGCCACACCACTCCTAATTTAAAGCCAAGTAGCAACCAGGTAACTAACAGCATTCCATTCAAATTCTAAAGTTCAGGACAAATAGTTCATTCATTGATTCTTACGACATAAGAGGCATCATTCAGTCTGTCTTACCTGTGGCAGCTCTTTGAAAGAGCTATTCAATTAAAGTCCCAATTCCCACATCTTTTCCTCATAAGTTTGAAAGCTTTAGCTCTTCAAGTTTCTATCTCAATTTGCTGGTCAAACCTACTTTTATCACTCTTTCAGATTGTGTAGTCTGGATTATCATTTTCTCCCTAAAAAATCTCAAATTTGCTCTGGTTCTTTTGTCAATTATGTTAAAATTGCATCTCATGGTTACCAACACCCCTGCCAATGGAATAGCTAATCCTCACTCCATCAAAGCTTGTTCCCTTCAGAAATTTCCATCAACTCACATCAGACATAAGCAAGAAAACCGAGTAGAGAAAAGATAAACTAAGAAACATTTGTGAAGCCTCCACCTATTAGGATAAATCACTGAAAGTTCAATTGAATTATACAGTGCTTATCGATAAATATCTATAGAAAGAGTGTGTTCTGGACAATGAGGTCTATTGCCGATCTCTCATGCTTAATAAGCATACAGACAGATAAAATAGGTGGCAAAATCTGAATCAGAGAGGCTAGCAGCAGAATTTGATCTGGCAACAGGGGAGGCAACAATCTAGTGGTATTATCGCTAGACTATTAATCCAGCGAATGTTCTGGGGAGTTGGGTGAAAAATCCCAGCAAATAGTGGAATTTGAATTCAATAAAACACATCTTGAATTAAGTATCTACCGATGATCATGAAACCATTGCTGATTGTCAGAAAAACTCATCTGGTTAGTTAATACCATCCCACCAGGTCTGGCTGACATGCAACTCCAGAGCCACAGCAACGTGGTTCATGTTAAACTGCCCTCTGAAATGGCCATGAAAACCACTCAGCTGTATCAATCGCTACTAAGTCCCAACAAAAAAATGAAACTGGACAGACGATCTGGAATTGACCGAGACACCAGAAAAGACAACTGCAAAAACAGCCTTGTCAATCCTGCAAAGTTCTCCTTACTAACGCCTGGAGGGCGAGTGCCAAAATTGGGACAGCTGTCTAACAGACTAGTCAAGCGACAGCCTGACACTGTCTATAAGGTATGATTCCATGAGTATGACTACAGCTCAGACAACGACATCACCACCCCTCTCTTGTCCCACTGACAGGGCAAACCCAGCAGAGGTGTACAGTCGGGAGGGAGTTCGCAAATTTGACTCCAGACCTTCATGAAGTCTCATGGTTAAACATGGGCAAGGAAACCTCCTGATATCAGAGCTTCTTATTCGATGAATCACTACTCCTCCATAGATATTCGGTCTAGGCCCGAAACGATTTTATTTCTGAAGAAGGGTCTAGGCCCGAAACGTCAGCCTTCCTGCTTGGCCTGCTGTGTTCATCCAGCTCTACACCTTGTTATCTCACTACTCCTCCACGTTGGACAACACTTGGAGAAACTACTGAGGGTGGCAAGGATGCAAAATGTACTCTGAGTGGGGGATTTCAATGCCCACCCCAACAGTGGCTCAGCAACAGTATTACAGATCAAGCTGGTCAGATCCTAAAAGGACATAGCTGCTAAACTGAGTCTGCGGCAGTTGGTGAAGGAATCAACAAGAGGGAAAACACAGAGTCATAGAGCTATAGATATACAGCATGGAAACAGACCTTTCGGTCCAACTCATCCAAGCCGACCAGATATCTTAAACTGATCTAATGCCATTTGCCAGTATTTGGCCCATATCCCTCTAAACCCTTCCTATGCATGAACTCATCTTGTGTTGTAATTGTAACTGCCTCCACCACCTCGTTCCATACACGCACCACCCTCTGCATGAAGAAGTTGCCCCTCAGGTGCCTTTGAAATCTTTCCCCACTCACCTTAAACCTATGCCCTCTATTTTGGACTCCTCTACCCTGGGAAAAAGGCCTTTGCTATTCACCCTATCCATGCCCCTCATGATTTTATTAACATCTATAAGGTCACCCCTAACCCTCCAATGCTGCAGGGAAAAAGCCCCAGCCTATTCAGCCTCACCCTATAGCTTAATCCTCCAATCCTAGTAACATCCTTGTAAATCTTTTTTGCACCCTTTCAAGTTTAACAACATCTTTCCTATAGCAGGGAGACCAGAACTGAATGCAGTATTCTAAAAGTGGCCTCACCAATATCCTGTACAGCTGCAACATGACATTCCAACTGCCATACTCAATGCACTGACCAATGAAGGCAAGCATACCAAATGCCTTCTTCACTATCCTATCTACCTGCAACTCCACTTTCAAGGAACTACGCACCTATACTCCTAGCTCCCTTTGTTCAGCAACACTCCCCAGGGACCTACTATTAACTATATAAACCCTGCCCCTATTTGCCCTACCAAAATGCAGCACCTCTCATTTATCCAAATTAAACCTCATCTACCACTCCTCAGCCCATTGGCCCATCTGATCAAAGTTGTACTCTGAGGTAACCTTCCTCACAGTCCACTACACCATCAATCTTGGTATCATATGTAAACTTACTAACAATATCGCCCATGTTCACATCCAAATCATTTACATAAATGACAAAATGCAGTGGACCCAGCACCGATCCTTGCAGCACACTGCTGGTCACAGAGGTCCAGTCTGAAAAGCAATCTACCACTCTGTCTCCCACCTTCAAGTCAATTTTGTATCCAATTGGCTAGCTCCCCCGGATTCCCTGTGATCTAACCTTGTTAACCAGTCTACCATTCAAAACCTTATTGAATGCCTTGCTGAAATCCATATAGATAATATCTACCACTCTGCCTTCATCAATCTTCTTTGACACTTCTTCCAAAAACTCAATCAGGTTAGCAAGACATGATTTCTCACACACAAAGCCATACTGACTCTCCCTAAACAGCCCTTACCTTTCCAAATGCATGTAAATCTTCTCCCTCAGAATCCCCTCCAACAATTTACCCACCATGGCACCATCATTACCAATCTGCTGGCTGCAGATGCATCTATCCATGACAGCATTGTTGTTGAGAGAGACTGCTGCACAATCCTTGCGCAGACCAAGTCCCATCCTCACATTGAAAACACCCTCCATCGTGTTGTGTGGCATTATCACTGTGCTAAATGGAACAGATCAAGCCACTCAAGACTGGGCATCCAAGATGCACTGTGGGTGACCAGAGCAGCAGAACAGTACTCCCGAACAATCTGCAACCTCACGGCCCAGCATATCCTCCACTCTACCACTACCATCAAGCCAGGGGATCAACCCTGGTTCAGTGGAGAGTACAGGAGGACAGGCCAGCAGCAGCACTAGGCATTCCTAAAGCTGAGGTGTCAACTTGGTGAAGCTACCAAACAGGACTACTTGCATGCCAAACAACATAAGCAGCAAGTGATAGACAGAGCTAAGTGATCCCACAACCAATAGAACAGACCTAAGCTCTGCAGTCCTGCCATATCCAGTCGTAAATAGTGATCATCAACTAAATAATCCACTGGAGGAAGAGGTTCCACAAATATCCCTATCCTCAATAATGGGGGAGCCCAATACATCAGTGCAAAAGACAAGGCTGAAGCATTCGCAGCAAACTTCAGCCAGAAGAAGTGCTAAGTGGATGATCTATCTCATTGGCCTCTAGTGGTCGCCAGCATCACAGATATCAGTCTTCAGCCAACTCGATTCGCTCCTCATGATATCAAGAAATGGTCGGAGGTGCTGAATAGTGCAAAGGCGACGGACCCCGACAACATTCTGGCAACAGTACTGAGACTTGTGCTCTAGAACTTGCTGCTCCCAGACCCAAGCTGTTCCATTTAGCTGTGCATTTACACCACTGACATCTACCTGACAACTGCCCATTACGACCTGTACACAAACATCTAGGAGAAATACAATCTGGTCAATTACTGCCTCATCAATCTACTCTCGATCATCAGTAAAGTAATGGAAAATGTCATCAACAATGCTATCAAGTAGCACTTGCTCAGCAATAACCTACTCAGTGACACTCAGTTTGGGTTCTGCCAGGTCTACTGAGCTCTTGAACTCATTACAGCCTCGGTTTAAACGTGGACAAAAGGGCTAAATTCCAGAGGTGAGGTGACAGTTATTGCCTTTGACATCAAGGCTGCATTCAAACTAGTGTGGCATCAAGGAGCCCTAGCAAAACTGGAATCAATGTGTACTGGGGGCAAACTCTCTGCTGTTTGGAGCCATACCTGTCACGTAGGAAGATGGTTGTAGTTGGAGGTCAGTCACCTCAGCTCCAGGACATCTCTGCAGGACTATCTTCAGTTGCTTCATCAATGACCTGTCCTCCACCCTAAGGTCAGGAATGGGGTTGTTTGCCGATGATTGCACAATGCTCAGCACTATTCACAATTCCTCAGATACTGAAGCAGTCCATGCTTAAATACAATAAGATCTGGACAATACTGATAGGGCTGACAAGTTGCAAGTAACATTCGCATGACACAAATGCCAAGCAACAGCCATCTCCAATAAGAGACAATCTAACCACCACCCCTTTACATTCAACAGTGTTATAGTCGCTGAAGCCCTTGTCATTGACTGGAAACTGAACTGGACTCGCCACATCAACACAGAGCAGTTCAGAAGCTCAGAATAGTGTGGTGCGTAACTCACCCCCTGACTTCCCAAAGCCTGTCCACCATCTAGAAGGCACAAGTCAGGTGTGTGATGGAATATTCCCCACTTTCCTGGATGGCAACAACAACACTTAAGAAGCTTGACAGTATCCAGGACAAAGTAGCGTGCTTGAGTGGTAGCAAATTCACAAGCAACTAATCCGTCCACAACCAACGCTCCGTAGCAGCACTGTGTACTATCT